GTAAGTATATCAATACATCAAAAGAACTTTGCCCTTTTTTCTATTATGCAACTAGTTGGTGATAATGAGTGCAAATGCTTTTTTGAAATTCCATAAAACCAATTAATATGAATATCGAACGATTCATGTTCATCATGATTTGGATCAAATGTATGTTGTTTAATATCATCAATTGAATTCAAAAATTTTAATTCAAAATGAAAGTAGAATATTCTTTTTACTAAAATGATCGACGAAAAAAAAAAAAACTCTACGAAATGGACCAAATCAATAAATTTTCGGATACTTGTATTGACTATCCATGCAAACACTCTACTAACTGTAGACTGTGAGTTTTCTGTATAAGAATGTGCTATAAATCTGGATAAGTTAGTGAATAGGCATATCCTCAACCAGAGTGATACTGTAAATCTTGAAAAATCTTCGTATTTCTCCGATGAAGTTCCAGTATTTTATTTTATTTTTTGTTGACTAGTTCCAGCAAAAATCCTCACTCAATCTCACCGATTGGTAGTAAACTCAAACTGTGAAAAACAACTATTTTTAGAATTGTGAACATTTAAGAGCATGATAGTTTAAACAACATTACAGAAACCTGAAATCCATCGTTAAACTTTGTTAGAACATGTCAAGTTTTCTCTTTTTAGTACTATTATAATAGTTTTAAGGGCAACAGATATTCAACAGAAAGATACTACTGTAGACTATACAATAGCATTAAAAAAACTTTCAAAAAATTTTATGATCACGAGAAAGCGAGAGAACGCCAAATGACTCATTCAGTCAGAATATACATTGGAGATATTCTTGTGTTATGTGTCAGATTATTTTGGGACATTCTTTAGATAAAAAATTACGAGGATACTACGTTTTGTACTTTATCAGCATTGTACTGAAATATTCTATACGTTAATTAAATTTGTTTTTTTTTCCATAACTATTAAGCAATTTTTTTGTTAATTTTAAATTCATAAATATTTCAATAATAATAACAAATTTCGTATTCTAAATAATTTCTCTCCATAGATGTCACTCATTATCTTAAATTCTTTATGACGAGGCGAACAAAACATAATTCATGGCGACAATGAACAAAGATAACATCTGAATATGCTTTAGTTTTTTTATCGGTCAAGATAATTTAAAACGATTAGAACGCAATAAAAAGCAAAACAAAAAATAACCTATTCATTTAAAATCAATCAAAATGAAAAAAGGTTCTGTATTTGCTGGTAAAAAAGGTCCTTTAGCAACAAATTATGGTACTCCAGTTAATATATCATCAACATCATCTTCATTTTTTGATAATAGTCTTCAACAAATATCACATAATCCATTAGGAGGACCTTCAAGAAATTGGCAAGCAACACCAATAAATTCACATCGATTTCCATCAACGCATTATTCATCACAACAACCAAATTCAACATCTACTATTCGAACACATCCTTTAATTACATCGGCTATTGTTACAAATACACCAAATTCAAATATAATTAATCGAGTTAAACCATATACACTTCAAGGTCTTGTTGAAAATCTCAATGAAGTAAAAAAAAAAACAAAAGTATTATTTATTGATATATGAATTCTTTCATTGTCTATTTAAAGTTACTTGCTGAACTTGCTATACCACATTCAATGCGTTATGATACAAAATATGGTTTTGAAGATATTCTTACTGTACTTGATGTATATATTTCATTAATTCGTATCTATTTTAAATAAATATAATTTATTATATGTTTTTATTTTTTAGCATTTAACAAATCCAACACGTTATGAAACTCAACGTTTTCAACCATTTCCACCATTACCACAACCAACTAAATTAGGTGGAAAAATATCTTTAACGGATCGTTGGGCTTATTTAAAACAAGTTCTTTTATTATATCGTCTTTCAACAATTGAACAATTATCACGTATTAAACCAGAACGTGTTATGGCACATGATCATATGATGATTATAATGGAATTATTAATACAATTAATAATATGTGTAATTAAAAGTCAACATGAACAAGAACGTATAGAAACAAATAATTATTTAAGTGAATTTAAATTATTAATGCGTCAAATGTTTTGGATTGGAAGACATAATCCTGTAGTTATGGAAGAATCTATGTATGAATTACGACATCATGTTTATGCTAAAGATAATCTTGAAATAATTGATCGTTTACAACATGAAAAAAAAATCAATGAAATGACTATTGAACGTGATCAATTAAAACAACAAGTAAAATAATAAATAGAGTATAGAAGATACATTAGAGATTAAATCAATTCATTTCATAGTTATAGTATAGTATTTTGCAATGCAAGAAGAGATCATTCTTTTTTTTTTTTGATAATTTATTTTTCTCTCTATATTCCATTAAAATATTGAGTATGGTCTTCAATGAATTTATTTTTTGCCTGATTGCTAAAAGAGATCAAGGATAAATTTTTCGATGAAGCAAAAGTTCTAGAAAATCTTTAGATTGCATATAGATCAATTCAGTTTTTTTTATTTTGATCATTTCAATTTGTAAATGAAAATCTATATTGAAATTAGACTTAGTTACGATCACATGTGATTGGTACTCGTGATCAGTTTGCAGGTCTCTAGTTAAAATATATTATTAGTAATCAACCAGTACATCAGATATAATTATATTTCGTTAAATCATACTCATAGGTCAATTTGATTTCTTATGCATCTGTATCATTTTTTATAATAGTTTGAAGAATTAAAAAAACATCGTGATGAACTTGAAAATGAATGTACAATATTAACAACAACAAATGAAAATGATATTATTGAATATACTCAAAAACAAGAAGAAGCATCCGATGAACAATCAAAATTAATTGAATTAACACAAATTGTTGAACAAAAAGGTATTTTTGAAGAACTAAAAAAATTTATTTCCTATTATAGTTTTTTTCTTATATTATTTAAGAAATGGATAAAAAACATTTAATTGATCGTAATCAATTATTATCTGATAAACTTTTTAGTCAACAAACTGATGTTGAATTACAACGACATGTTCGTTCAAATAATGAACTTAAACAACAACATGAAGTTCTTCTTTCGACATTATTTCTTGAACAACAATTACATACAACAGCAGCTAATGAACATAAACGACTTGTTAAAGAAGTAAAAAAAAATTTTTAGATTTTTATGTTAATCGTTACTACTTATAATAAATATTTGAATACTTTTTCATATCAGATGAATGTGTAATTCAAATGACATGAGATATATTAAAATTAAAATGATTTTTTTTTTGTTTCTTGATTCAAGTTTTTCATTAGAATATGAAAATTTTGCGTCTAAACATTTTAATTTTGAAATAATATCTAATTCATATTTTTGCATATATTTAAAAAAAAATAAACATGTTTTTTCTCTATTAGACTATCGTAAGATTTTATTCAGATAGAGCTGTTCAATAGAATAAAGATCCTTCACTATTCAGAAGAAAAATTTCACAAGGTCTTATAGAAATCCAGAAAATTCATGATAAGACGATGCCTTAAAAATTTTAGTTTTCAACAGTTACAACGTAAAATCTTTAGCTACTATCTTCCGATTTTAATGATTTCTTATCTAATACATACTACACAGTGTTTTAATAAAAATTTTAATACATTTCTATTATTCATATTTAGTTACAAGAATGTCTTGGTAAATATCAAATATTACTTAGTGCTTATAAACATAAATCATCTCGACCAACACCATCAGCTGTTGATTTTGATTTAAGTGATATAATTGGTGATACAACATCAAATATAAATAATGATTCTGTTAAACAAGCACAAATAGCTATTGAAAATTTAACAAAAGATATTATTGCACAAGAAATTTTATTAACACAACGTCATCGTGATCTTGAACAAGAATCTAAACAAGTAAATAAATTATTTTTATTATTAAAAACTTTTTTTCTTTGATTAGAAAATTGAAGAACTTCAAATTGCTGAACGTGAATGGAAATCAGTTACTAAACATGGTCAACGTCGTGCAGCTCAACAAACTGAATTAAGTCGTTTTCAACAAGAAATTCGTTTATTTACAACAAAAATTGTTGATCTTGAACGACGAATTGAAGAAAAAAAACTATTAACAATTGAATTAAAAAAAGAATTTGATCGAGTAAAATATTTTCTCTTTCATAGAAAAAAAATAATAATAATTTTTTTTTTTGTTATTAATTTATTAGATTAAATCTGGTATTGTTGAATTATTATCTCGTTTTGAATTATTAGAAACAAATTATATAAATAAAGAAGATGAATTTCGTTTACATTTATCATGGTTTTTATTTGATCAATCACAATTAGCTAAAATTTATCGACGTGATGTTGAAGAATTAAAACGTTTACAACAAGAACATCTATCAAAATTAGATATTAATATTAATTTATTATCATTTGATGAACTTATTCAACAACAAATTAATAAATATTATCATTATAGAAATATTGATGATGATGATGATGATGATGAAATAGAAAATAATAATAAAATAAAATTTATTCAAGAATTAGATAAATTACATGATGAACATATTTTATGGTTAAAAAAGAAGAAAAAAGATTTAAAAATAACAGCACCTATTGTTGAACGATTACGTATGTTTTTTCTTTTCTTTTCTTTTTTATTGTCATTGAAATAAATTTTCTTTTCAGAAGAACTCTACGATCATTTACAAATTCTTAATGTCAAATAAATATCTTTATTATGTCAGATATATAAAATTATATTTGTTGTTTTTTTTATTGTATATTCTCTATTATCATGTCAGATAAATGAAATTAGTTGTTATGTTTAAAAAAATATTGTAAAGCATTAATTTTTGTTAAATAATAACAATTGTTATTAGTTTTAGATTATTTTGTTGAATCTTTAACTAACCGTATATATTGAATATGCATTTATATAGATGAAAATTTCATTGTTATTTTCTACAATTTATTTTTTCGATTAACAAAAAAATTTAATCATGAACGATTCTGATGAAGATATTGATCCACTTATGGGTCCTATAGCTGATCTTATGGCTGAACATAATCTATCCTCAAAAACAACAACAACAACAACGAATATTCAAAAATCAATTGAAATTCTTGATCAAAAAATAAATATTCTTGATTATTTATCATTTTTAAATATTCATTTATTATTCAAAGATATCTTTAATTATATTCTTGATATTCAATGGTACAATTATATGAAAAAAAATTTTCCAAAAAATGAACAAGAAATATTTTTAAATCATTCACAAATATATTCATCATTAAAAAAATTAATTTTTTTCTTTATTGTAAGTATATAACTTTCTCATCTTTTATTAAACTTTTCTTTTTTTTTTTTATAAAGATCTATACAATAATAACTTTATCATTTCCATATATATTTCATATTATACTTATTATTGATATTTTATATGTTTTTATTATTGATTTTCTTTTTCCATATTATATTTATTATAATTGGTTTAATTGTTTAAAATCTATTCATCGATTTTTAAATACAATTTATAATCATCAACAATGGTTAATAAATATACAAGGTTTTCAATTAATTCGTCCAACATCATCATTATTTGAAAATCAATTATATCAATTTCGTTGTCGAATATTTGACGAATTAAAAAAACATTTTCTATATACACGTCAAATAGCTCGACAATATTCAATAGAAAATAAACAATTAATATGTTATATTGATATTAATGAATTTGGTTTATTAATAAATGAAAAAGATAATTTTGATTATGATAAAATAACAAATCAATATGATCAAACATTAATTAAATCATTATTAAAATTATGTTATTTACAAATAAATGAATGTATTCAATTAATACATATAAATCGTCCAAAATCATTTTGGATATTTTATAATTATAATAAATATTTATTAAAATCTATTAATAATATAAATAAAATAAAACAAAATTGTTCAATTATGATTGATTATATTGATAATGAAAAAATTACATCATCAAAAAAATTAATATCATCATATTTTTTACTTCGTTCTAATTGTGAACAATTATTTGAAATGAATGAAAATAATTATATTAATAATGAACAATTAAAACGAATTATTCAAGATCTTAAAACTATTATTTATTTACTTGAAGGTATACAAATAAAACCAATAGAATTAATAAATCAAATAAATAATGAAGAAATAATCTCAAATGATAATAATAATAATAAGAATTCATCTCATATAACAAGTTATCATCGTTTTGATGATCAAATAAAAGAATCTATTGATGAAATTCTTATATGTGATACAGGAAAATTAAATGATGATAATATGAAAGAGAATATTTTAGATATGGATGATTATGATAAAAAAATTTTACGTGAACAAACAAATTATCTTATGAAAGAACTTAATTTAGCTATACAAGGAAAAAAACAAGAATGGAATGAACGTGAACAACGTTTATTAGGAAATATAGATGATAATAATGATGAAATTCAAGAAGAAAAAAAACAATTTATTGATAATCAATCATTTGAAAAAGTATCGTCAACAATAAATACAATATCAATGTTAGATGAACTTAAACATACATTTGTATTAAATAAAAAAAAACTAAATATTCAAGAAGATATATTTGGAGAGGATGAAGAAGAAAATTTTGCTGATGAGGACGATGAATAAAATTGTTTCATTTTATTATATAAAGAACAAATTGTTATGATATATTGGGATTGGGATTTATTCTTTTTATTTTGGTTTATTAAACAAGTAAGATGTATCTAGATAGTGAGAAAGACTTGTCATGAATATCATAAACAATCATAGGTTGGCATTTTCAAGTTCATAGATTTGCTTACTTTCAAATCCATATCTTACTTTGCATATATATATATGAATATTATTTATTTAGTTTTAGATAAACTTAACGTAAATCGTAAAAAAAGAAACGAAATAATAATCGAAAAGACAATGTTTGAATTAAACGATCTTTTCGATACATTTCTCTTTCGTACAACAACATTAACTGGTTTTTTATTTTATTGGTTACCTATAATATGTATTTTTTCACCAACATATTTAAGTCCATTTGCATTTGTTGATTCAACTCAAGAATTTAAAGCATATCGAATGGTTCAATATGATTTATATGGTCAAGCATATGGTAGTCGACAAGCATTTATTTCAAGTGAAGTTCGTTTATGGTCACATACAAATCTTAATCGAAAAGCTGTATTAATACGTTTAGAAAAATTAACAATTGAACGTTTTCGTTCACTTATATCTAAAGGTATTAATAGTTTATTTATTGTTATACCATCAACAAATACACCATCATGGACAAATGAACAAAAATCAGATATATGTGATTTAGAAACAATTTTACTTGGTGAAAGTATTTCAATACCGGTTTATTTTCTTCCTGAAACACAACAAATGAATGATTTATATAAATCAATTGAATCAAGACGTGATTCAACTAAAGATTCAGCATTAGCTGTTCTTTATGATATGATTACAGCTGATGGTTATCAATTATCAGTTACTACTGGAAAATATGGTCAAAGAACAGATAGTGTTTTATATAATATAGTAGGAAAATTAATTGGTCATGGTATTGAAGAACGTTTACCAAAAATTCTTATTGTTGCTCATTATGATGCACTTGGTATAGCAAATGGTTTAATACAAGGTGCTGATTCTAATGCAAGTGGTGTTTTAATTTTATTAAAATTAATACGTTTATTTTCAAAATTATATGCTAAACAAACAACACGAGCAAAATATAATTTACATTTTTTATTTGCTGCTGGTGGAAAATTAAATTATCAAGGAAGTAAAAAATGGATTGATGATTATCATGATCAAAAACATCAACAACAACTTCCAAATGATGTTGATGTTGTTGTTTGTCTTGGTGAGATTTTTTTTCTTTATAAAACAAAAACATTTTTTAATGAAATCAACTTTTTATTATAGATTCATTGGGTCAATCAAATGAACTTTATATGCATGTTTCAAAACCACCAAAAGAAACACAAGCAGTATGTTTTATTACGATATTATTTCGAAAATAATTTTAGCATAAATATTAAGTAGCAATGGAGTTTTTCGACTTCAAATTTTTTTCGTAGAGAATTTGGCCGTGTGAAGATATAAGTTTTAGTTCCGAGAAAATAATTGCATGATGTTTTCATACAAATTCGAAGAGCTTACATAAGAAGTCGTCTATGAAGAACATTCGAACATTCATTAAGATTTAGAAAATTCGTACGGTTTTGTCACTTTCAATTGATTTTGATCAGCATTTTTTAACAAAGTATCTTTTCAAAATTCTATGATACATCGTAATAAACTAAAAGATGAAAGGAGAGGGCTCAGTCGAGATCGGATGAAGTGAAGATCAAAGAATGTGATTTTTACTTGGACATGCTCTATGGTTAATCCAAAAATTCTCTCGAAGGTTTCCATGAATACACTTATATTTGCAAATATGCACAAGAACAGTCCAAAGCTTCGTTCATTGCTCTATCGTTTCAAAACATCTAATAATAGGCTGAAAATTTAGTAGAACAATTTAACTAGTAATATGATTCCTATCATTTCGCAAGCGAGTTCTATCTGCAATGAAATGAAACAATTTTTAAACATTTTTGTATCCTATGAGATTAGCCGATGTTATGCAGAACTCTGTTTTGCAGTATTTACTGGTAACAATGATAATTCTCTTTGAATTTAATTTATGAATTCAGCACGCAAGATACAGAGATTCGACTACATCATAATTATATCTAGAAAACCAATAATAATATCGGTAATAAAGTCAGATATCAATTAGTTAATAGTGATAGAACTGTGTGAAAATAAATATTTAGCATTTACTAAGCTTTGGAATGATATTCTAGTGTTTTTTGAAAACACAAAAATAATCTACACAATGTTCAAAATCATTTATCAATAATTTCATATATTCGTTAACTTCTTTTGTTCTTCATTATTTTTATTGATTATTCTTAGCATCTATAAATCCTAATCTATTTTGATTGCTAATCAATAATGTTTCTAACAAGAAAAATCTATAATAATAATTCGTTTCCGACATTTACAGTCATCAAAAATTTATTTTTGCAATATAGTTAGTCTATCTTTTTAAAGTGAATCAAAATGAATTGATGTTTTCATATATATTTTTTGAATTTCTAGGCTGGTATTTTACGCGAACTTCTAACAGAATTAAGTGAAAAATCAACTTATGGTTCATTAAATTTCGAACAAATACATAAAAAAATTTTAAAAACAAGTGATTTTGTTGCGTGGGAACATGAAAAATATTCATGGTCAAAATTACCTGGATTTACTTTATCACATTTAAATTCATCTAAATCATGTTCACATTCATCTATAAGTGATATGCGTAATGATATTCAATTAGAATCAATTGAACGTTATTATCAATATATAAGTGATGCATTAATACGTTTAATATTTAATAAAACGGATATAAATTTATCAATTGTTGATCAAACTTATTTATTATCAAATCAACAATCTGATTATGATCAAATAACATTTACAAAACAATGGTTAACATTTTTAACTAATTATTCACGATCACCATCATTATTAACTAAAACTCATCCAGTTGTTGTTGCACTTGAACAATATGCTCATCGATATTTAACTAATGTTGTTAAAACAACAATACGTCCTAATAAAAAAGATCCAGAATTTGTATTTTTTGATGGAGATGATGATCAAGGACGACAATTATATGTTTATCGTATTAAACCAGCTATATTTGATCTTGTTTTAGCTATATTTATTGCTGCCTATCTTGGTATTATCTATATGATAGCCGCCAATTGGTCGATGATAATTAATATTCTTTTACGTTATAAACCATTAACAAATACATTTTTATCATCATCATCACAATATGGAGGATATAAACGTAAAATCAATTAAATCAAGAATTTTATATTTAGAACAAAAAGCTTCCAATTTTTTTTTCTTTTGTCTCGCTGTTGTTTTGTTACCTTTGCAATGTCTTTTACAACCGGTTGTTGCCGTTTCTTTCTTTCTTTCTTTTTTCTTCTTAGAATAAATTTCACAAGTAGAAAGAAGTAGAAATTCTAGAATTATTGATTTAAAAGAGAATATATTGAGCATTTTATTGTTACGATGCGAAGCACTGCATTACAATTGTTTGCGAGTTTTTAAAATTTTTTCAACACATATATTCTGTCTTCATTTCAATTATCTTGAAACTTGAAAACAAAAGAATTCACAAAAAAGGAGAAGATCGCCATGAAGCGAAACCATTCGTACTTCCTCTATCAAATTCAATTATATGCTACCGATTTTACTCATTTTCATTGCCAGGCATCGTCAACTGATAATATTCGACCTTTTAATGCATTCGAAACTGAAGAAGAAGAAATGCCAAATATAATAACTACATATAGGGTATCTCAAAAGTCATGATCACTTAAGAATTGCGTATAACTCTATTATTAAGCAAGTTTTATCTAATAATTTGCTTTTATTTAGAAAAGAAGACTAGTAAGTTTTTTTTTTCATAAATACGAAATTCTAAAATACTCTTCGATAACAATATATTTAATTTCAACATAAAAACTTAAAGATTTTACATTTTCAAAAAAAAACACATCATACAACGTTTTAATATTATTAAATCCATTTCTTTCGTTATTCAAGTCGTTAAATTAGAGTGAACTTTTATGGTTGTTTTGTAGACATTTGGTTTAAGATAGACGCATAGATAGAAGTCCAAATATGTCAAGTCTAGAGGTCGAGAGGCCCATACTATTGGAGCACTCTTTCCAGTTCACCTTACATCGATGATAAAATACTAACCTAAGATGAATATTTAGATCGATTAAGTAATTCTATGATTTTTCAGCAAGATACAGTACCGATTCGTCTTTTGAAATCTGTCCATGTGTGGCTGAACCCAATCTTACGTGACAGGTAAATTGGAAGAAGTGCTCCGATGGTATGGACCTCTCGACCTCTGCACTTGACACATTTGGACTTCTATCTATGCGTCTATTTCAAACCAAAGCTCTACAAAACAACTATAAAAGTTCTCTCTAATTTAAGGACTTCAATAATAAAAGAAATCAATATAATAATAATAAAACGTTGTATGATGCTCTTTTTCTGAAAATGTACAACCTTTAAGTTTTTGTGTTGAAGTGAAATATATTTTTATTGAAGAGTATTTTAGAATTTCGTCTTTATGAGGAAAAACTTACTGATCTTCTCTTCTAAATAAAAGCAAATTAAGAGATAAAACTTGCTTAATAATGAAGGTATATGCAATTCTTAAGTAATCATGACTTTTGGAACACTGTAGAATGAAGATTAATTCTAAGTTTATTGTGGAAATTTTGGAATGAAATTATGAACAAAGCCACAAAAGTACGTCAATAAATTAATGAAATTTGTTCCTAGTCCGCTCATTTCATTTATGCGTCAATGTGTTCGGTTTTAGCGTGTTTTTGGCAGCCAAAATTTGTTGGCGTACCATGGGAATTCTTTCTACGTGTGCGATCCAATTACCGACAGTTGATATATCATAATTCACATTGTTTTCTTCCATCTTTTTCAACCGCCGCTGATAATTTCGTTGGAGTTTTTCAATCTGAACATGCAAGTACGTATTCAAGTGGTTATAGTTATAGAAACAACCTTCTTCAACTACCATATCATTTAAAACGTTCAGAAAGCGATCACAACTTAAATGGACATCTACCTGCTTGAGAAAATAACCAAGGTATATACTTGCGTCAAGAAGCTGGGTTTTCAAGTCTTCCATATTTTCAGACTTATATTTTTTTCCATCGATTACTTCGTATTCAAGTAGATAATCAATTTTCACATGTTGACTTGATTTACACGAACAATCATAACATTCATCAATGTATTTGTGTGCTACACAGTATGGGATTGAAACTTTTTCATGTCGATAAACATTAGGTCTACATGAATAACACAAAGCCGATGGATGTGAAATAGGCTTCGGACGTAGCTCAACAAAGATAGGCGAATCTAGATCCCTGTTTATAATACCATTTCGAAGAATGTTTCGCATTGATTCCAACATTGGACGAATCATTCCCATAGTTTTGAGTCGAAAATATTCTACCTTGTTGCATTCTTGGCGAATAAAGTATGGTGAAAGACTTTTGTGCGTATATTCTAGAAGACGATCCCATGATTTTTTCGAAATTGACCAACCTTCTTCACATGACATTTCCGGATGATCAGATGAACGCCTTGTAATCAAATAAAGAAAGAAGCTGCTGTCAAAGACAAATGTATTCTCGCAAGCGAAAGGAATCTTGGTTGGCAATAATTGAAGCATTGTTTGAACTTGTGTGTTATGTTTCTTGCCAATAATCGAACTAGACAAATATTTGGTGAAACAAAAGAGGATATTGTTACGGACGTTATTTCCTAGGAAATTTAGTATCTGTTCTAAACATTTTGCATAGACATGGAGTTCTGGATCTCCTGGTTCAATAAGAACACAGATGGCGTTCAGATGCGTTAGTTCAATAATGCATGACAATATACGTTCTATATTTGTTTGATTAGAGCCTTCTTCGTCTACACTATGGATACCCGGCGTATCAATTATTCTTAGCTTATGATCGTAATTAGTATCAAATGTGTACGATTTACAATTTTGAGTCACCGAATGTCCAGGATGATCGTAGTCTTCATTTGGATCATCTTTTCCAAAATGAGCAAAATGCTCTTCATTCGGATCATCTTTTCCAAAATGAGCAAAATGCTCTTCATTGCCATTTATGATCCTATAGATAAACGAGATGATCGGAGAAAATATAGGTACTTTGGATTTGACTTCGTTGTAATTGCTACATTTTAAAAAATGCTCAATCATATTAACGAACATTGATTTACCAACTCCTACTTTTCCGAGAAGGAGAATATTGATGGCTTGATCAGTGTTGGACATCGATGAAGCAATGTCATGTGATTCTTCCTGTTTCATTATCGCAGACGTGTTTCTATCGATATTTCGACTGTCGTTAGACGTGGGAAAAGTTTTAATCGTATTCAAGTCGTAGTCACAATAGGTAAAATCTACATAGAGCAAATGCAGATTCGTGGCTGTTGCTTGATTATTGCTCATTTGCGAGCATAGTTTTTTAAATTGAGCCCAATTTTTGTCGTTTAAATTATCATTCGAGCAAAGAATAAATTGTTCATTATGTTGCATGAGTTTATTCTCAATCGTCCTGTCATCATCGTCCTGTGTCACACCAAACTCTTTTGCATTCCGATATGTGAAACCTTTTTTGCTTAAATAGGCGAGCAAACTACCTTTTTCTTTCAAAGTCGTCAAAGAATCTACGAAATTGTCGACACTTTGTCTCAAAGTTAGCTGTTCGTCGTCGGTCAATAGTTTCCGATTGATCGCCTGCTGTTCATCAGTGCCTTGACGAATCTTAAGAATTACGTTTCGACATCGTTTTTTTTCCTCATCATATTGATATGTCAATCGGTTGTATTGATTCTGCATCTTGTCCAAGTGTTCTTTCAGATAAGTTTTTAGTAAAACATAGGCTTCGTCTTTGCGAAATACTGTCCACATTTTCTCAACATTTGATAATAGAAGCAAACTATCTTCGACTCTCTCAGCAAGTTTTGCTCCGAGTGAAAACAGTCTACGCACATTTTGCTCATTATAGGGATAGAGTATTGTGATAGGATGAAGGATATAATTACATGGTCGATGGTCAGCAATATTTTTTTTTATATTACCTATGGCTTTGTACAAATCAATCATTGACCTCGATTTTGTTAAAGAAAGTATATTGGAATAGATATGCATCGAAGGAGTATGATTGAGTGACATCGCATCATCAGGTAGCTCCATATCATCTTTCAAAAATGTGCATATTTTATTCAACACTTTATCTATAGGTTTCGAATCAGTAGGTGGCAATTGTAATACAGCAATAACATCGATACCCCAATCGATACCAATGATAATATGAGTAGCGTCAGAGGTATGCTTTGATCGTTGGTTGGATTTCTCGTCAAGTAAACCCTCTTTTCGAACCATATAGGAATAATAGAGAACGCGAGTGTTTTCATCGATCACAAACGGATAATGAACAACTGAAGCAATACCCGTCGGTTTCACGATATCCGATGCCACACTCAACCGAAGTTCACTGTCGAAACCGGCGACTCGAAGTAAATTTGGCAAGTCGAACTCGCTACCACTCTTAACATGGCATTGAATTGGTATACATGTGGGATCTTCCTTGATTTTGATAGAAATATCCGATGATGATACGATACTGTCCCGCCATCCATCATACAAACATCCAACATAGCCCGAAGGATCTATTGCTTTGCGTTCGATGGTGACAAATGACAAATTAATCATCGGGCCATAATCATTGTTGATGTTTCCTTCTGATCTCGAGACGGAAGAACGATTATGCGCAACATGGTAAGAATTATATAACGCCCCATTTTTCGATGTCTTATGATTGAGTGACCAATTATACCCTTCGCAAACGATCCAGTTACTAACATGACAGATGAAATTCTTCGCATAGACACGTTTGCACCATTTGTTAGGTAGATTCTGATATCCATAGACAGCGCCGGCTAATTGTCCATAGATGGCTGCTGTCGTATCGGTATCGTCGCCCAGATTAACAGCCTTAAGAGCACCTTTCTCGAACGAATTATTGTCACTCCAAAATGCCCACAAAGCAGCTTCCAGTGCACTAACCACATAGCCTTTACCTCGAATTCCTTCATTATACCCACCGGATTTTTTGTACGAACCTTGAGCAATCTTTAAGATGTCCGTATGAAGCGGCTTTTTACCGAACCATTGTTTATGATCCTCATAAAATTTATCGCTGATCAATTCGTCTTTTAATGCACCACGAAGTGCAGCGACAATAAGAGCACCGTAATAACGACATGCATCGTATGCTTTGTCATCTCCATGAGTAATTCGACCACTTTCACCTGAATATTCGACAGCTTTTTCAGGAATTCGATAAAAGAAAAGCGGTACAGGTGCTAAACGCATAAGAGCACCATTACCGGCCACTCCTTCTTTACTGCAATTCACGTCAAACGCTTGAAGAAGTTCAGAACTCAAGGTATTATCCATCTCTTCATACGAAATATTCCAGTATTTCGCAAATTTTCTTTGTCTTTTTTCAAATTCTTGAATAGCATTTTTCGTAGCCGCACCTATATCAAAGCAATGTCCAGTTGATGACATATAACCATACCGATACCACCACTTGTAACGAACTAATTGATCGTACGGCACAAAATTCCCACAAGCAATCAATGAATTAGCCAAACAAAGAGCCATGGATGTGTCGTCGGTAAACTGGAAACAAAAGTCAAACGATTACTTTGCAGCAAAAAAATATAATCGTCTGATTATTGAAGAACTTTTTAGAATATTCAATATTTTTTCAGTATTCTATCTCTAACATAGTGAAGAGAAATATAGTCCATCTCGCAAACTGAAATCTATTAAATTATCCTGACAATTGAGGCTTATAGAAGAGTTGTCTTAATATAAACATCAGTCCTCGCCTTCACTAGTACTCGTACGAATCATTTTTACATATTCTTTGAAACGGTATAAAAACTTACAGTTCCTTAATCCAGGTGGAAAAGATTAAAACAGGCTTTTGTTTTACTCTTTGAAAAACTGTTATAGATTATTTTTTTCCACAAGCATCTGCTGATAATTTCAATATAGAACTTGTTTAAATATCGAGAAACGTGAAATCGTCTCATGCTTTCATGTTTCTTCAAGGAAATGGTCATCGACAGAGATATTCATATCAAAGGAGATTTTTCATTTTTTCGTACCTGTCCTTTTTCGAGACCCCATGTTCCTCCCCCTGTAAGATCTGTGACCGGATTCGCAGCCAAGTAACTCTGTGGTCTAAACTCTACGTGAGCACCAAGAGCATCACCCAAAGCCAAACCAAACATTGAGCCTTTAATACGATCCACTATATCATCTTCATTTATTAACGGTTCATTATATTTCGTGTCGATTTGGATCTGATCTGGTTTCTTGATGACTTTCTGATCGGCATCATCAAATTGTAAATTGAGCCAAGATTTGTCTATTAAAAAGAAAGAATTAGCGCTAGCATTGATAGTTTTGCTTAATCTAAGAAAAACGCATTCATTTGACTTTTTTTTAAAATATATAAAGAAGCTGAATGTCAAACAGATTATTTGTAGTGTCTGAACAAATAATCCATGGTTACCTGATTGATTTGTGTTATTTGGAGCCATTTACTTGAGTTTTATTATTCCTATAACAATAAGACAAAAACGAATCTTCTTCAACTAGATTCAATTGAAACATTTCTCTTGGACAAAAGTTAGGCATTGAAACATATATTTAGTATCTGTCAATATGCTCATACTTTCTGACCAATGAGACCAATGATAATCATATAAAAGTTGAACTTAATTGCACAATATTAATGCATCCTTGTTATGGCTATCGGTTGAATTTGACTAAATAGATATCTTAGATTCTCTATATCTTCTAAATGAATATACTATTCGGTACCAGTATGAAGAGTTGTTTTCATATTCAGAAAATTCAGCTAAGAGATTTGTTCTTAATTTATCGTTATTTTTCTCTTATGATATCATTCTTTTCTTTCCATATTTTCGAATTGCGTTAATATCGCTATAGTAGTTTTCTGCATTTTCAACTATTCTATAATGACGTTCGATTTGGATAAGACTATGTAAAATAAAATAAGCAGAGCTTTTCACGAGAAATAAATACATTCATCACGTATCAACAATGTCTTCAAACTATTTTTTAGAAAATCAATAAAGGAAAACAACACAAAAATTTCTTTTCCAACCAGAAGCAATGCCTCTTTAGAAATGAGAATCCTTTATGATAAATACCGAGAAACTGCCACAAATAAATAGTTGATATACTGATCGATATACTATACTTTATACTGACGGTTGACCGCTGGTGTTTTTCTACAACTATTGTATCCTTGTATATTATATAAAAACGAATGAATACTTTCGAAGTTTTCAAAACTAACAGAATTGAGTCAGTTTTGAATTACACTGATATCTTTGATGCGTCTGACGCGAGCCGTCTGTATTAGAAACAGAGCTCAAAGCGGTATTCTTTATGAGATAAACTTTTGTTATAGTTGGCGCTACACAAACTTTATTAGTCAAATATATTCTGAAACCATATTCTTCTCAGTTAAGTTGAATTTTTTTCTGATAAATCGCTCGGCTTTGGGTAAAACACTTTCTGTAGTCGCTTATAGCCGAAACCAAAACAAAGGTTGAAGCCAGAGTTCCCGATCTGAGTGAATTTCAAAAAGACACAAATTCCTTGTTTATCAAAACGCTCTCAGAACTATCTTCTTTTTTATCGACAGTGTAACGAAAAAGTATGAAGAGATGAATGGATGATGTTCTACTTTGTTACCAATTCAGTGTATGTTTTATTATAATCAATATTGATAAATCAGAGGAGTGGCGTTACCACTACCTTCGATATAGATGTTCACTATGCTACTTCATCATTCCAGTTGTTTCTATTTTACATAGAAAACGAGTTTATATACGAGAGAGAGAAGGAAGAAGTAGAGAAGCCATATGAGATGTTAGTGAGCAGACAATTACTAACTTTCAAGAGGTTAGAGTGTCTAACCACATAGTGTTCGATTGGTCTCACATCACTGAACAGATTAGAAGGTGAAGATAGGTTGTGATCTTACTATTAGTACACACAGTAATTTTTCTTCTCTACGATTTGAATCACGAGTTGGTGCTATGCATAACAAATGACTCAAATCAGATATGGAGAATGACATTCTCTGCATCAATAATTTTCTTAATTCTTCATATTTATGTACTTAGATATTATATAGTTGTATACACATTCATATCACATTATGAGGATTCACTCACTGGACTACAATAATATAAAGTTGACTTGAAAATGTACAAAAATGTAAGTGTTGCCGCTTAATTTCTATGTGAAAATATAATGCATTATCATAAAACAACGTTTCATTTACAAGTTGTTTTAACAACCCACCTTATCTGTGTTCTTTTTCTTCTATTCGCCGATTCTTTTTTACATAATGTGCATATTCACACAGACATACAGTACATCATACGAAGCGGTGGTAAAGAAAGCAGACAAATAACTCAAGATATAAACATAGGATGCTAAATGCATTATAGTTCGAGGCTCAAATAAAGACTCATTGAGTGATCATCTTTCTTGCACCACTCAATACCATAGCATAGAGGAAAAACAGTTATCATAAAATTCCTTTTTTTTTCTTCTGCTTCACTCTGAACAGCGACAAAATAAAGAATAGTATCGGTAATTGAAGGTATGAATGTGCGCGGTGATTGTGAGCGATTCCTATCCATTGTCACACTCATATTCTCCCTACATTCTTTGCCGTGTCTTGACGCTAATTATATAAAATTCAAAATGCTTTCGTTAGTTTTTCGAATCTTCCTAATAATCGACTCACCACAATCAAATAATAAACACTAATGCGTTGTTAATAATTTCAATAATGCGTTATTGTTGATCGGAAGTTTCAGCGACTTGTAATGTTTGCTTGCTTTTATCCAAATGACTCGTTTTCTTTTACTTTTGCAGTATGACAACACTTTCTGTCTCATTTTTGTTGTGTGCTTTGTCTCCGTTTTTTTTCGTTTCTTTTTTAATTCTTTTCAAAATTATACTCCATTGAGAAGGCCTGTACATGGTAACACTACAATGTTTACGAAATCAGTCGACAACAAGTGATGATAAAGAAGAAAAAAAATTAGGTTGTCGATATCAGTAAGTGAACTGTAGACTCATATCTACTACACTTATACCCTCATTGTGGATTCGGAAATAGCACGTTTCTCTAGAAGAAATAGGGTCTCTAAAACTAACACGATCATTACCTCATATCGATGTAACCTCTATACAGCATTCTTTCTGTCGTTCACCTTTTGTACATCACATTCAAGCTTCATCTTTACGTTTTATGATGTAAAATGTTGATTCATCACTGAATATAATATGTTCCCATTCATTAATAGGTCAGTTTGAATATTCGAAACACCAATCGAGTCTAGCTTTACAATAATCCTTGTTTAGAAGTGGTTTTTTCGTTTTAGTTCTATGTTCATAACCATATTGGTGAAGATAATTAGTAATGTTCTTCTACAAACAGGATTTTCTAAAAAATATTTTAATTTGATGAAATTTTTACCTACTGTCGTGATGTTTTCGCTGACAATCTGCAAGACCTTCATCACGGCAACAAAATCGAACAAGAATATGACAAACATCTTCTGATTTGATGGTATACCTACTAATGGTGCTTTGTATTCGATGTTCAACTCATCATTACCAACGATGGAGATCGATCTCATCATAAACATCTAATTTTTCATTCGTGATCTCCACAACCACATTGTCAAGCTTCATAAGGAACAATATGATGGACAAGCACATTTTTATGGCACATATGTTAGATGTACCATAAGAGCAAATGTTATATGTAATATCCATATATATTTGTTCTCTTTCTCTTATTACATGCATATATGGTCAACTATATTTGCCTTTTCTTTCGTTCTGTTAGATATTTCACTTAGTGTGTTCTTTTATTTCTTCCTGCACTTTCCTTCTTTTTTTTTGATCTAATAACTCTTGTTCGTTTTCTTCAACCTCTATTATCTTTCTTTTTTCTATTCTTGTAAAAGTCAAGAAAACATTTTCCTTGACCTTGAACTGGAATTTAATGCGTAGTTAGTAATGCGTAACAACATTATATATATGTTGATGTATTTCTATGATAGAGATAGTTGGAGTGAGAGAAGAAGTGGCTATAGTCTGTTGTCATTGATTCAACAAAAATAACTGATTAAAAAATACGTAAGTAACATCTTAAAAATAACCATATACACATCAACGTAAAATAGGACATAACACACATATAAAATCGTTTACTGTCTTTCGCGGTCAAGGATTGTCTAGAGCTGACTTTGATCAATTGTTGAAAATCAAAGGTAGACTTTTATCATTTAATAATTTTTTTATCGATTAGTATGCATCGTGAGGCCTCACTAAATTTTATTTGTAACACGGCGAAAGCATCTGATGTCGTATACACCTTATTCGTTTTGAAAGTTGTTCTGTACATCGAGTCAATATTGGTAGTTAACGTTCACAGTATCAGTTATTTTGAAGGAGAGCGAGAAATTCTCTTCTTCATCCATTCAGTCTTTCCTAGTGAATCAATGAAACAAATTAGTGAAAGCGGTTGT